AGTAGTAATCAAGATAGACCTCAAAGTGCAAAAACCTCAAATGTTTCTATTCATGTAAATCATAAAGCAAACGGGGTGATAACAACTCGTATCAGTCAAACACCAACTAGCAGTATTTCAGTTAGTTCGAAAACCTCGTCCAATGATTTTCCTGCTCTAAGTAAAGCTTCCGTACCTGTGCCACTATGGGTTTCTCAGAAACCGAAGAAACAACAAGAAGCGAAAGCATCTAAAGTTGCTCCTGCACCTACTCTACCTCCAAACAGCCTTAATGACTTCCCTATTTTAAATAAATCAGACAAGGGCAGAAAAACCGCCAGCGTTACTATGCCAATATCAAATACTTGGGTGAATTTGAATAATTATAATAATCAAGTAAAAAGCAATAAAACTAATAATAAAAATAGTAGTACTGAAGGAGATGGGAGTAATGAAGTACCTGAAAGTGAAATGAAACAACAAAAAAGTGAGAAAAAGAGTGGAAATAAAAGTTCTAATAAAAATAATGGGAGAAGTAGCAGTTCAAAAAGCATAATCCTTAAAAGTTCTAACATAAATAGTAAAAGTAGAGACGATAAAAATGATAATCAATTCGCTAATGGTAATAGTATTGACGATTCGAAAAATAAAAATAAAAAAAAGAAAGGAAAAGTAGTAGATGAAATAAACACTGATAATGATAAGAAAGGGTAAGATTTACTTTTATATTATAGAAACTTTGAATTCTGTTTCATGTTTTCTTTCAATTTTTTATCTTTTTCTTTTTTTAAAATTAACCTGTAGGTAAATTAAGAGAATTAATTATTACTCTTAATTTCAGCATGCCTAATGATAATTGCACTAACACAACTCAGGATTCTAAAAGCAATAATAGAATAAATAAGGTCGAAACTAAGAAAGACATCGAAGAATCAACTACAACAAAACAAGAAGTCTTGACAAAAAATGGAATCGTTAAAAAGCGATCTGAACTAAAAATAGACAGTTTAGAAAACAACGATGCTGAAGACAACTTTCCAGTTCTTGGTAAACCTAAACCTCCCCCGGGCTTTAAAGTTAAACCTCCGCCAGGTTTTAGTAACTTTGACTCCCTCATGAACAGTATATCATTATACGAGAGTATGTCAAGTTCTCCAACACCAAACGATTTAACATTTACAAACAGCTCTGGCCAATCCTATCCTATCCTTCCTTCTAATAAAGTGTTCTTGCCGCCCCCTGATTTCCAGTTTCGGAATCGTGTTCTTTTCGAAAAATTCATGTACACCCTAAAAGACAATGACACTATTCAGCAGTTCAAAATATTGTCTGAATTGTTTCGAAGTGGATCCATTTCAGCCTCCAACTATTATGAGCACTGCCAAAAAATGATGGGCAACGATTTCAAGGAGATTTTCCCAGAACTTTTAGCCTTATTACCTGACATTGACAAACAACAGGAACTGTATAAGGAACATGCGCGAAATGGATCTACTTCCGGATTAGATGTTTGCGCAAACTGTCAACAGGTTGTGTTGGCCAATGAATTACGCCAACATTTGGCAAATCATACGTTGGAAAACCACTTTCCACTTCTGGAAAGTCCCGCTAACAACAGCGATAACGTTTGGAACCGAAATAAGTAAAAACGAAGCAATTTATACATAATAGTAATACCAAAACTGGTCGCCTTACTTTTATATGAATAGATATCTTTTTACGATTTTTCTTTGTTGTTTCTCAAAGAGTATTTTTATACTAAATGTTTTTTGTTTTAATTAATTACCAATGATGGATATCGTTGTTTTTGTTTACAATACTCGTTTCAAGCCACTTCTTTCTGTAGAGAATAATGAATTATTGCGATACTTAATAGTTCAGTACGTAATAATAAAATATCTTAATCAGCGTCTAACCTTTTATTTTATCTGCATTTGTTTGTTTATCTGGAATAAATAATTTATATGATTGGTTTTTTTATACGTAAGTATCCCACCATTATTTCAGGATCATTACAAGTATTAAAAAATTGGTCTGAGCACATTTTGGTCGGTGCTAATACGACTAACTTCCCATTAGATAATACAGTTATTGTAAAGTACATTCGTTTCTAAAGTTTGAAAAAAACGCGGCACAATAATAAATAACAAACAATGTTTGAGAGTTCGTCATTTTATAAACCCATAAGAAACAGTATTTCGTCTGAGAAAACCGAATTGATAGAGTACTTGCATCAGTCAATTGGTAAATACTATTTTTTATTGTTTATCGATTGTTTATAACAATTCATTTTGTTATAAACAAATTTTTATTATAATATGTTATTATAATATGTTATTCCCTGTCTTGAATAATGATATTTCGTTATTATTGATTCCGTAACTTCATTGTTGTGATTAGATTAGAACGTATTTTAATTAAATTGTTTGTAATTAATTCGTTTTTTTTTTTATAAAAAAAAAACGGCTTGACCGATTTCGTTCAAATTTCTTTCAGATCTTCATTATGATAATATCTTTCGAAAAAATTTTGGTTGAGGGCGATATCTCAATCCGTTCTTGAGATATCGAAAACGAAAAAAATGCTGACATACGAACGTACGTACATACGTACGTACGTACGTACGTACGTAC